TATCATTTTTGCGTCTTTATTGCAAATATTACTTTGAATAAATTTGAAACTGAAATTTTTATAATGACAAATATGCAAATGTTTACAACAGTATAATGAGAGGAGGAAAGTATTGCAAGCATTCAAAAATTATTAAAGTATAAAAGTAAAGTAATAGATTATACTATTGACATAGCAATTGATGACAAATTACAATAGTAAACAATTTTAGCTTTTATGTCTGTGAAAAGAACACAAATAAAAAAAGCAAATTTAAATTTCATATTTTTAACACAATTTTAGCAATTTCAATTAAAAATAAACTTAAACGTGAAGTATACGTAAATTTATTTTTACACAAATTTGTATTTAAAATAATACAAATTTCATTTGCTTGTAAAAATGAAATCTGTAAAATGAAATTTAGTAGTACAGAATGAGTGAGTAGAAGATAAGTATGAAAGAGATGTTGCTTAAGTTTTAAATAAATAAATTCAGTATGATTACCATACGCCAAAATGTTTAAATAGTATCAAATTAAGTGATTTCTTAAAATTTGCATAAAATCAAACAATTAATTAGATCTTATTAACAAAATGATAACTTTTAAATTCTAATCATCATACTATTATCAGAGACAATATAAATATATTTATTACCATTGTTATTAGTACAGTTATCGTTATTATTATCAATTCATTTAAATCACGTAGATCACGTTTGTTTAAAATAATTTAAGTGATATAATCAAAAAGAAAAAAAACAAAGTCAATTTGTTTTGATGTGCAATAATTGATATAAATATTCATTTATCAGTACTAATTTTTAGTACATTTGAAAACAATTGCATTTAAAGTTATCAACGATAATTGCTTCGTATATCTTATCAGTCTTAACAAACACTGATTCCAAAATGATAAGAAAATGTGAATTTTCAACAGGAAGAACGAGTGATTACTTACGGCTCACTACTTCTTGCATTCAAATTCAATTTTCATATAATTCCATTAATAATTACAACGGTTCATTAACCTTTTACATGGGAATTTCTTATTAAAAATGCTAATAATAATTTTGAGAATTAATAACAATCGTAAATAATGATTAGAATAATAATTGAAAAGTGCTGAAGTATTTTTTCATAATATTCATTGTAGCTTTTTATTATTTCTATGAGCGATAAACTTTTCTACGAACGATTACATCAAAAATATTTGCATAATATGTAATAACTATAGAGAAATTTTTTAATAATATAAAGTTTAAGTTTAACAAATTACTTACTGATTGCTATTTTACAAAAATTAGCATAAATTGCAAGATATTATGATTGAAACTGAATTATTCGTATGTATAAATAAATTAATATACATCATTTCCTAAAAATATAATAATAATAATAATAATAATAATAACAATAATGATATGATTAAAATGTATATCTCTGAGGATATCGCTGCTTTACAATCTAATGACTAATTTACTCGAAAAATTAGTTTAGGTAAAACATTATTTTGAGCTGATCCTGATCATAACTTTACGTGAGTATAATTATTAAAAATATTTCACTATTCAGTTCACTGATAGATAGTAAGAAAATTTTTCTCGTGAAATTTCTTAAAGCATTATTCTATCAATCAATAAGTCATCATATTATGCAATGAATCTCAAGGAAAGTTGGAATAATTAATTAAAAAATTAATGATTAATTTATTACTAATCATTCTTACTGATTTTATTTTTGATTGTAATAAGCACTTTTTTCAGTTTCTCAGAATTTTTATGACATTTGCGCCTAATTGAACTTCAAATGCATTATTTTTTTTTAAGCAAATTTTATTTTGTGTTAATGTTTACTTATTTTCCATGCAGTAGAAATAGTATTAATTTTGTTTGTTATAATATTCCGATGGTAATTTATAATCATTCTTTTTATTGCAAATTTATAGTTTTATTAACTTATTTTTAATATAAATTTGTTATGAAATTTTTCTATAAGTGTATTTTATGCTTAAGTTTAAAAATTACCGCCCTTTGACCTCTGAAAATATGCATATTTTTAAAATGAATAAAAGTAAAAATTAAAAAAGCATTTTTCATTCGTAAAATTCAACCAAAAAACTGTTGTCAGTGGTGGCAAAATTGACAAAATATAGAAATTACTCAAAATTTGAAAAGAAATTTGATATTAAGCAAAGACTGAATTAATTTAAAGTAAATTGGCCTTAAGAATATCAAAATTCACAAATTGTAATAACTCTTACTTTCTTCCATTTACTAATTTGCATATCAGTTGTTTACGATTTCAGTCGCATATCATTTATCCATAAAATAATAACAACAGTAATAATAATATCAAATTTTAATTTTAATTTTAATTATTTGAAAGTAATTTCCAAAAATTTGTTTATTACTGAATGCATAAACTTTAATGGATTAAACACATTTAAATAAAAACAAATTTTCTTATTAATATTTTTTCCTTTTTTTCTCATTTATTAACGACTTTTATCTTAAAATAAATTATGTCGACAAAATTAAAATCGAATTTGAATCAAAAAATCGAATGAATTTAATTTCTATAAGATCAAAAAATACTTAATACATTGTTATTTATCGTTAATTAATAAGGTAAGGTAAAAGGAAAGTCTCAATTTCAAGCAATTAAAATTAGTATTTATATTCATCTCAATTTTGTGTTCATCAATGGAAACTACTATAGTCATATTCCATTGCGGAAAAGGATTAATCTAAATTAAGATTAGTCATGGGAATAATTATAATTTACAAAATTCAGTAGAATGAATTACTATCGTTATCCTTCGATTACATAAAAATATTAGTAGCTATTATTAATGCATTTTTTACGAAGAAAAATATATTCGCCTAGTCCCAAGTCATTAATTTATGGATATTTGTTGATTTCCTTGAGGAATATTTGAATATTTAATAAACGCATTTTAAAAAAGTAATATTTCGGCAAATTATTCAAATTATTGTGAGCTATTTTATAAAAAATTTATATGAAAAGCTGGTGAAAATTTCAAATTGCCTCAAAAAATTTCCCGAGACTTCTAATCAATAAAAAATCATATTCTGATGATCATTTCCTAGCTATACTTATAGCTCTCCTAACGAGAGCAGGGATAATTTTTTAAATTACTTTTGACATTAAGCAAGTATTAGTTTGTTACTATGAAATTTTGTTTATTAGAAAGTAAAAATTCGCGCAGATAATAATAATAATAATAATTCAAATGATAATTTAGACTAAAATATATATCTTATCAAAATAATCACATAAATTACATTCAAAATAATTATTCATAGAAATTAAACTTCCACAATAAATGATAAATTTTATTTCAACATTTCTAGCAATAACAGCTATCTGAAGTCTGCAACAAATACATTAATTATGCAGAAATAGATTACAATTCACAAATAAACGAATGCACAGCTCATAAAATGGTCGTCGAAAATTTGCATAATCATTTTTGAGATTACAGAATTTTCAAAACGATTTTAGCAAAAATAACTGCAAAAATATTAATATTAATCATTCTCTTTAAAAGTTTGCAAAAAATTTCAAGTGATTTCAGTTTATTATATCATAAAATATATTTTTAGTATGGAAATGAAGTCATTATCATAGTAATAAATCAGTACTTGAAAAACTTTCTGAAATTAGAACTAATAATAACATTAACTGATTCTTTTGGTAAAATACTCCGTAAAAAATTGCTAACAACACTTAAATATTCAATAAATATTTAAATAAATTTTAATAAATACATTTAAAATTATAAAATACAAAGGTCTAGCACATGAAAAAAACAATACAAAAAATTATCTAAAATAATCCATTTAATAAATAATATTAAGACGAAAAATGATATTTTGATTGAATTAAATAACCGTTATCCATTTTTGACAAATTCACACATTAAAAAATTTGCATATTAGATTGAAGATTAAAAAATGTGAGAAAGTCAGGCATGAATGAACACTATTTAATAATGTATCATTGAAATAATTTTATTCAGACTAAAAATTTTTGTGTACAAGAAAAGTCAGCTTTGAAAACAAAATTCGTGCATAAAAAACAAACGTTACAGATAATTAGCAAGTAGTCAACGAATAAATAAAAAAATAAAAATTCACAATCATTCGATATCCACAATTAATCCGAATCAGTTACTTGATCTTGATCTTGATCTTAATAAGACTTGATATTAATATATTGATTCAATGTTCTTTGCTGCAAATTATTTGTTAATTATTATATTTTGCTTAATTTTGATATAAGTTAACTTAATGTGATTT